TCCAATCATCTCATCTCTGTAGGACTCGCTAGCTTCATTTATGAGCAAAGGAGAGTAATTCCCAGATCTCTTAGACCACTGCAGGGAAAATTCATTTTAATAAAGTACTGCACATCTTATTGATAAAAGAGATGTGTTTCTTACCATACACTTGATACTTTATAACTATTTCTATTCTATAAACGAAAGTCTTACTTATGATTAAAAAAGAAATATGTTCTGCATAGATACTAGCAATTAATTTATGGTGAACTCAAATAAATATTGTCTTCTGAATAAGAGACTGAATTCTCTGTGTCATGAAATTCCAGTTTAACCATCTGCAAGCCATGTTTCCTTTGCAATGTATCTTTAAAATGTCAAAATAATTTCCTTCTTATTTTTTGTTTTTGTTCCTAAAACCAAATCTTTTTCCTCCCTACTGTACTGTACAATGGAAGCAATTTATACAAGATGTGTGTGATAAACTTCCACCAGACTGAATTCCATGAAGGTAGGCATAGTGCGTATATTCTTCACCGTGGTCTACTTAATATTTATCACAGAGTTTGGCACATGGTAACTCTCAATAAATGTCTTTTGATGTTTTAAATAACGAGTGGGATATTTATCAGTTCTAAGTAATAGGTGTGTGATTTGGCAGATCTTTGTGCAAAGATAAATCTAGGGAAGGTTCTGGGACACCAGCATATGTTATAAATCCTCTTCTTCAAATGCAGCCATAGAGAAACTTTTTAAATTTTTTAATTTATCAATTTGTATGCCAGGCACTTTCTCTACATTTAGGTATGAATTTTTATTTGTTTGTTTGCTTAATTGGTATGAACCTTTCAGATAAATTCCTTTCTCATATACTTTTACTAGCATATACTAATTGTATAAAATATTGGGTTTTGTTGTGATATCTTCATACATCCATATAATGTATTTTGATGATATTCACCTCCCTATTTCTTAAAAGGATATTGTCTTATTTACTCTCTTTCCCCCTTCTTTTGACTGTGTTTCTTTTATCTTTGCCTTGAATTTGATCTGCATTTTACTTCAATAATAATAGTAATTTATCTTTTCATAGAACTTCATGGTTGTCCATGGTTTATCTCATGTGAGCCTAAGTGGAGGATAATCTAAATGGAGGAATGTAGATATTACTACCCCTATTTTACAGAGAAGGAAGATAATCAAGTTGGTTTCATATGAGGGAATCAAGGATGATTCAACAAGCAAATCAATAAATACGATACAGCACATAAATGGAATCAAGAACAAACACCCATGACCATCTCAATAGATGCATAAAATTATCCAACAAAATTCAACATCCCTTCATGATAAAAGTCCTGACAGAACCAGGAATAGAAGGATCATACCTCAACACAACAAAGGTCATATACAACAAACTTACGTCCAACATTATACTGAATGAGGAAAAGAATTTTCCCTAAAATCAGGAGTCAGACAAGGGTGTCCACCATCTTCACTCTTATCCAATATAGTTCTTTACTTCTTAGCCAGGATATTAAGACAAAGAAAGAAACAAAAGGAAAAAAATAGGAAAGGAAGAATTCACATTATCACTATTTGCAGACAATATAATCCTATGCTGCAAAGACCATAAAGACTCCAGCAGAAAACAATTTGGGTAAAGTATCAGGATAGAAAATTAACATACAAAATCAGTAGATTTTCTACAAACCAAAAATGAACAGGCTGAGAAAGAAATCAGTAAAACACTTCCATTTGCAATAGCCTCAAAAAATAAAATGCCTAGGAATAAACCTAACCAACATGGTAAAAGACCACTGCAATGAAAATTATAAAACACTGGAGAACTGAAGAAGACACTAGAGGATGGGAAGACCTCCCATGCTCCTAGATCGGCAGATTGATATTGTGGAAATGGTCATATTGCCAAAGTCATCTACAGATTCTCTGCAATCCCCATGAAAACTCCAATGACATTGTTCACAGAACTAGAAAAAAAATCCTAAAAGTTCCCAAATAACCAAAGCAATCCTGAGCAAAAAGAACAATGTTGGTGGTGCCGGGCATTGGTGGCTCATGCCTGTAATCCTAGCTACTCAAAAGTCAGGAATCAGGAGGATCGCAGTACAAAGCCAGCCCAGGCAAATAGTGTTCATGAGACCCTGTCTCATTAAAACCCTTCACAAAAAAGGGCTGGTGGAGTGGATCAAGGTCAAAGCCCTGAGCTCAAACCCCAGCACCGCAAAAAAAATTTTTAAGAATAATGTTGACGGTCTCACAATATTTGATTTCAGATTGTACCAGAGTCACAGTAATGAAATTATCATAATACTGACATGAAACAGACACGTGGACCAAAGGACTAGAACAGAGGACCCAGAATTAAACTCATGCAAATACAGAACTTCAAACTCTAGGCATCGGCAATGACTTTCGAATACGAGTCCAAAAGCTCAGGAAAAAATAAGAATTGACAAATGGGATTGCATCATATTAAAAAGTTTCTGGACAGCAAAGAAAACAACTTTCAGAGTGAAGAGACAGAATGGGAGAAAATCTTTGCCAGCTATTCATTTAATAGGGATTACTATCCATAATATATAAAGCACTCAACAAACTTAACCATGTAAGAGCAAATAATCCAATCCATAAATGGGCAAAGGAACTGAACAAACAGCTCTCAAAAGAATTAGTACACAGGGCCAATAAATACATGAAAAATATTCAACATCTTTAGCCATTAAGGAAATGTGAATCAGAACTACATTAAGAGTCCATCTCATCCGTCAGAATAGCTATCATCAAGAAAACAAACAACAAATATTGGTAAGGATGTGGAGGAAAGGAAATTCTTATATCATGTTGATGGGAATGTAACTTAGTGTAGCCACAGTGGAAATCAGTATTGAAGTTCCTCAAAAAAAAACAGGAGTGCTAACTTCTGGATTATATACCTGAAAGAATCTAAGTCAGCATTCAATAGAGACACATGCACATCCATGTTTATCAAGTTATGGAATCAGCCTAGGTGCCCATCAATGAAAAAATGGATAAAGAAAGTATTATATATATTACATATATATATATATATATATATATATAAAATGGAGCATTATTCAGCCATAAAGAAGAATAAAATCTTTCCATTTATAAGAAAATGAACAGATCTTCATGTGATGTCAAGTAAGCCAGACTCAGAAAGACAAATATCACCTGTTTTATCTCATATTTGGAATCAAGATTAAATAAAAAGACATGAAAGTAGAGGGGGACTGTTGGGGAAGAGGAAGAGGACCAGGAATAAGGGAGAAGGGACAAAAAAAGAGGTTAATGAGGGCTGAATATGATCCAAGTATATTATATACATGCATGAAAATGTCATAATGAAACCCACTATTTTGTACAATTGACATACACTAATAATAAATAAGAAAAAAGAGTGAGTCCAAGTGGAGTGGAACTAGTTTGTAATACTGATGGGGAACCCATCTAGTGTTCTCTCCTAAGTACTGAGCTATGCCTAAAGTGTAAATGACGTGCTAAAACTAGAACCCAGGTCTTCCCCACCATGGCTAGGGGAGAAAAGAGAGGATGAAATCAAACATCAACACTTCAATCTACCTTAGGCCTCTAGATTTCCTGTCCATTGGTAATGATTGTACTTAAATTTAACATTGTGGTCTTACGTTGTTCTTTTGCTTAGTCTATGTAGACTTAAACTGAAAATTCAATTTTCCTACAATCAGGAGCGAAGGAAACAAAGCAAGCTAGTTCTCAATAGAAAGATAAATGACCAATACACCTGTAATAGAATATTTTTACCTATCAAGTTATGGGAGAAATACAAGTACACTAATGAAATTTCATTTTTTATCCATCAAATTGGCAAATGTTTTTAAAATATTTATAAAATATTTAGGGAAATGAATTCTCAATCCATCACAGCTGATGGGAATAGCTAAATAGAAAAATAAGTTAAGTAGAACCATTCCAGAGAAGAATATAGCAATGAATATCAAAATAGTATAAATAATGAACATTTGCCCCTATAATTCTAATAATTATTGATGTTTTTAAATAATCAGAAATGTGTACAAAAAATTATATATATACTTGCTCTTCGTTGTCACAATTATTGTAGATAAAAGTTGAAAGTAAACTAAATGCTTAATAATATGATATTTTTAAGTAACTTAGAAGGACAATTATATGATAAATGCTAGGAAACATTAAGAGTGACTATCAAATATATTTAAGAATATAAGCCAATGAAAACATGTGTGTTTAAATGGAAAGAACCCACATACAATATGATTCTAGCAATGTCATGAAAGGTTAATCGCATGTATTCAAAACATATAATTCTCTATATGTATATAAAAGATTGATAGATAACTTCTGATGATAAGATTACAGATGGGTCATCTTTACACTTTTTTGTATTTTACATTTTTAAGTGAATATATAATATTTTATACACTGAAAAATTTTCTCAAAGTTTTTGCATATTTCCCATTGTTTTTGACCTTTGGAAGCCTCAAAGGTAAAAGAAAGTAACTAAAATTAAGTTCAGCTTTTAAAAGCAAGAATATACCACCAGACCAACCGATAAGGAGAAAGGTAAAGAGAATAAAAGCTGAATAGCAGCGGAGTTCTCAACATTCTGCAGATTACTGTCATGTCATTGTCCCCAGCAGGTCTGCTGGTAGAATTATAATAGCAGAAGCTCTTGGTGATACCTCATAAAGCTTGTGTTCCAGTGACAAATAGCAAGAGTAATCAGTTCAGATTTAGTAATGAACTCAAATAAAAGTTAATTAGGAGAACAGGGACTCTTTACAGGAATCCAAATGTCAGACCAATTAAAGGATAATGAGAGCACGAACATAAACAAGAATCAGGAAAGAAGCCTTCTGGTTGGACCCACACCCTCTGGGGAGGGTATATAAGAGCCCCAAAGCAAGAGAAGACATTTGAACCTCAGAAACCTCATCTTTCTACGAAGCCAGAAGCCAACCAGACACCCAACACCATGGCTTGCTGTGTTGCCCGCTGCTGCAGTGTCCCCACTGGCCCCTCCACCACCATCTGCTCCTCAGACAAATCCTGCCGCTGTGGAGTCTGCCTGCCCAGCACCTGCCCACACACTGTTTGGCAACTGGAACCTACCTGCTGTGACAACTGTCCCCCACCCTGCCACATTCCTCAGCCCTGTGTGCCCACCTGCTTCCTGCTCAACTCCTCCCTGCCAACCCCAAACCTGGAGACCCTCAACCTCACCACCTTCACTCAGCCCTGCTGTGACCCCTGCCTCCCAAGCAACTGCTGACCAGTGACTGCTTTGCTCAGGGCCTGTCATTGAAAGAGCCAACCCACAAGCTTTGGCATTTACCTGTTTCAGATCTGGCAACTAGTTTACCCCTTTGTAGAAATTGGAACAGGGGTGGCATTGTCACTAACAACACCCCCAAAAAAGAGCAATAAAGAGACATTCAGTGACCATGCAGCTATTACTTGTAACAAAGTGCAGATTGAAAAGGTAGATACCTATAGGCTTCCTAAAGTTGTTTTCCTTCATATTAAAGTGTATCTTTCTTTGGGTGTTTGGGAATTTTGTTTCCAGTCTTGGGTGGTATCTTTCTGCAAATTATGGAACTTCTTCATGATCACCTAATAAAGTTTATATCTCTGGCATAGCACAAATGTTTATAATTACATTTTTTTGTTTCTGTGAATTCATTAAAGTATTTCTTAACGCCTAACGTTGGCATTTTAAGAAAAACTAGCCAGGTATGGTGGTACATGCCGGTAATCCCAGTTAAGCAAGAGGCATATGTAAAGAAGCAGGAAAATGCCATCCAACATCAAGAGAAAAACAACCAATAAACACAGTCCCAGAGAGTCACAGATGTTGGGAATTGTAGATAAGGATCTTAAAACACTTATAAAGATCTTCAAGGATTTGAAGGAAGAGATTAACAAGATACGAAAGGAAAAGAATGGACAAGATAAGGAATCTCGCCAAAAAAATGAAAGTTTAAGCTTTTACTTGACAAATTAATAAATTAAATTTAAGTTAGATGTTAGAGATAAGGGCAAAATAGTTTCTGCTGGGTATTGGGGGGGGGAGGGGCGAGTGGTGTAAGAGGCGCGGGCAGGAGGGAGAAATGAACCAAGCCTTGTATGCACATATGAATAATAAAAGAAAAATGAAAAAAAATTTTAAGTTAGATGAAAGAAGCAAATGAAAAATTTATAATCAGAGTGTACAATATCTAAAATTAAAACTTCAATAGATGGGCTTCATAGCAGAATACTATGAATACTACCAGGTGGGAAAGATGTCAGTGAATTATCATGACAGACCAAAATGATTTTAAGCTAGATGAAAATTATAAAAATGGGAGCCTTGAGAAGAGAAAAAGATTAGACAAAAATGAACAGAACTTGAGCATGCTCAGTCAGCAGAAGTTTGATGATGATATCACTCCAACCAATGAGGATGCATTCTTTTCAACAAATAGTGCTGTATCAATTGAATGAAAGAAAACGAACTTCAACTGTACACATTGTACACAAAAAATTAAGATGTTTCACAAGGCTCAATGTAAATTTCTTAATTATGAAGCTAATAGAAGAATTAAAATAGCAAACTATAAACTGAAAGGACACAAAATGCCCTCACTATGAGAAATTATAAGCAGAACTTTTTCAAGATTAAAACTTATGTCCATCAAAAGACAGCATTAAAAAAATTAAAAGGCAAGCAGGGAAAATACATTTGAAATACATATATCTGACAAAAACAAAAATAATTCCTAAAAATCAGTAATAAAAGGTAAACAACCCAGGAAAATTAGGCAAAGATCAAATAGTTGCTTCACAAAAGGAGTTGATCCATGAAATTAGCCATCAGGGAAACGTAAATTAAACCTCAAGATAACATTTTACAATGACTAAAATGTCTAAAATTATAATGTCTGACAGTATCGAATACTGGAGAAGACAAGGAGTGAGTAAATTGCTCATACATTGTTGACAACAGTGTAAAAAGATGCAGCACCAGGTCTGCTTGGATCTTAAATGTCCCAGAAAAGTTCACGTGTTGAAGGCTCAATCCCCAGCTGATGGCGCTATTGAGAGGCAGTAGAAACTTTAAACCAGACACAAAATTATGCACACTGTGTGATTTTACTCATGAAATTCAAAAATAGAGAATAACAATCTAAGATAATAGGAATTAAAACAGTATTTACCTTTGGAAGACAGAGGCTGAATGAGAAAAGGCACAGGGAATGTTGTGAGGAAAATTTTTAGTATTTTGGCTGGAGTGATGGCTCAGAGCTATATATATTTGTCAAAACTGCATTTAATCACATGCAAACTTTATCTCTATTAAAAAGCACATGGAGTAAGAAAAGGAAATATGTTTGTAACTATAGCCATCGGGAACCAAGATACATCAACTGGCATTGTATTTTACTATTTTTTCTTCTAGTTTACTATTTATAAAGTAAAATATATTCATATTTTTATTAGTTGACAACCCTATACAGTAGAGGAGACAGATGTTATTTTCCCATCTTATGATAAAGACCAATTAAGGCCCATAATTAGATGAAGAAAATACAGCTCGTGAGTAACGGTGTGAGGTCTAGAGTGTAAACATTATGACCCCTAGGATGATGTTCATCCTCCACCAATTTTCCCTGTCCTTCTCTGTGGATGAGGAAATAAGTGGATTTATTTTTAGCAAATGTTTATTAAGGGCCTATAGTATATTATGTCCCATGTGCTGGAGACAAGAAAACAAGTAAGATACACCTGTCTTAAAAGAAACATTGCTCCCAAAGACCAGTAAACATAAAAAGACTATGAATTTTAAAAGCAATGTGACAGCAGCAATAGTGGAGTCCTGTGCAAAGTGCTCAGGGATGAGCCCCATCTCAGCATGAGGCAGTTGAGTGACAGTTCAGCTGAGATTAGACACACAAGTTCATCCAGCAAAGGGATAGCAGAAGACACAGTACCTGCAAGCTTGAAGAGTGGCTGGAGCTTGGGTTCGTGAGACTGAATATCAGGATATGAGCCTAGAATGGCAAATGGACACCACATTAAGGAAGATCCTATTTGCCGGGGTAGAAAGTTTGGACTTCATCAGGGTGAGTAACAAGAAATAGAATTGCACTTTAGAAAAGCAATTCTGCTAGTATTGGATGTTCTGACATAAGAGCATATGACAAAATGAAGCAAGCATGTCTCTTTATCATGACATCTATTCATTTTCCTCTATTCCCAGAGTCCCCTTCTTCTGAGGATGATATGCTTTAGAAATGAATCCTGGCCAATTGCTATGTTATAAGATGAGACTACAGCTATTCATTGTTACCCAACACTACCTAATTAGTCAAGATCAAAATAAATAGTCCTACCCTGTAGATAAAAAGGGATAGATGATAGATAGATAGACAGATAGATATAGACAGATAGATGATAGATAAACAGATGAAAGAGAGATGCAATAACCAGTAGTCAAGATTTTCCAATCAGAGATTAGCTCAAGATAAAAGGAAATATTTCTTATTTTACCTGCAGTTACTTTAAAATAATACATTGCATAGTACCATTTTTTGTTTGCTTGGTTGTTGGATTTCTAAGACAGGATCTTGCTTTGTATCCCAGGCTGTTCTTGAGTTCATGATCCCCCAGCTTCAGCCTCCCAAGTGCTAGAATTTCACATTTGTGATGCCATGCCTGGCTTCATAGTACCACATTGTAATTAGCTGTACCTGTGATGGACAACCAAGACATGGGTTCTCTTCAAAGACATTTTTCTTTTGACTCATTAGGTGACTGTGAGATTAAAATTTTCTTTCAGAGATGTGTAATTTTCAAACGTGTTTTTGAATTCTCAGACTCGTGTCCTTTACATAACAGTATCAATACACCAGCATCTCCTCTCAGACCATTTTTAGCATAAGTGTTGAAATAATTTGTGAATAATAAAGCCTAAGAAATTATTTTAATCTAGTTATATATGTTCACTCAATCTTTATTGTTTTGCCTCTTTTAACAGCTACCTAGGAAGTAGTGTTCAGACTTAGGAAAAACGATAAAGTTTATTTTAGATCATGATTTTTTTTTACTTTGTCAGATTAACAGATTTTTCCCTATATAATAATCTTAAACATTCTAGAGGCAATTGTCTCTGTGTACTTTTGAAAATGAAATAAATACAACAATTAAAGCCAAACAAAGTAGAATCAATTATGCTTTATAATGGAGGTGAAATTCAAGGAAGAATCCAGTTGGGCATGGTGGTGCATGCCTATATTCCCAGCTACTCAGGAGGCAGAGGCAGGAGAAACTCTAGTTCAAGGCCAGCCTGGGCAAAGTTAAGAAGACCCTATCTCAAAAAACAAAATACAAACAAAAGGGCTGGGGAGTGACTCAAGTGGTAGAGCACTTGCATACACCGGGCCCTGGGTTCAATCCTTAGGAACATACAACACACCAAAAAAAAAAAAAAGAAGAAGAAGAAGAAAGGGAGAGAGGGAAAAAAAGAGAGAGGGAGGAAAAAAAAGAAAAAAGGGAAGGCAAAGTAAAAAACAAAAGAAAGAAAAAAAATCTAAATGTTTGGCCTCAAGTCCCTATACATCTAGTATATAGAGATTTTATCAAATGAAATTTCTGATTGAAACCCACACTACAGAATTTTATTGCCCAAATGTCACCATTTTTAATTTTCATGTAATAGTCATAAATAAATAAAAGAAAATAAACTCCTTACCTCAGAAGATAAGACTTACATGACTTTCTCACTGATACTTTGAAGTATAATCAGTGAGGATTTCCCCAGACACTGAAGGCGTCTAACTCAACAGTTTACCAATTTATATCTCACTCTTATTAGAAATACAAGTAAGGCCTGAAGTGTAGCAGAGTAGTAAATTGCAGACTTAGCATGCACAGTGTCCTGGATCTGATCCCCAGCACCCTCCCCTCCTCCAAAAAAACTATGGATAGAAAAAAATAGTATAACATCTAAAAATAAGGCATGGGAAATGTGGACAGACTACCTTTTAGGAAATCAAAGACCACAGCATCAGGTCTTGATAACCAATTTACATTTTGGTTCACAGAGCAAAACTTATTCCCATCAGTTTTGTAAAGTGACTCTTTTTCTCTTCTTTCTTTTTTTTATTTTTATTTTTGGTGGTACTAAGGTTTGAACCCAGGGCCTCACGCTTGCTTGACAGAGGCTTTACCACCTGAGCCACTCTACCAGCCCTTGTTTGCTTTAGTTATTTTTCAGAAAAGATGTCAAGTTTTTACCAAGGCCAGCCTGGAACCACATTCCTCCTACCTACAGCTTCTAGCAAAGCTGAGATAACAAGCATGCACAACCATACCAGCTTATTTATTGAGATGAGGGTCTCCAGGACCTTTTCCCCTGCCTTAAACTGCAATCCTCCAAATCTCCACAGCCCAAGTAGCTGGGATTACAGATGTGAGTCACCACACCTGGCCTGTAAAATGACTTTTCAACTTGGAGATATGGTTCTTAGACACACACACACACACACACACTCACTCACTTTAAACTCAGTGCATATCTTGTTCCTTACTTAAAAGCACTGCAAGATTGCTCATCACAATGACCATTTCCATGGGGGTGGCACAAACAAATAAATGTCATTTAATGAATTTTAACATTGATTTTAAAACTAGACACAAACAAATCAACGCATAGTATCAAAATCTGTGAGAATATTGTTTTCCTTATTTGCAATGAGTTGTATCTATAATTACTGATTGGCCAAATTTTCTCTTTTGTGCCAGATCTATCAAAAGAACCATGCTTCCTATGACCATTTTTGGAAATAAATATTTTATCCAATCAGCACACAGGACTGGTGTAAGTCCTGATTTAGTAACCCGAAGTTATCCCTCTTTTATGAGGCATAAAACTCTTCCTCAGTAAATAACACTAATGAGTTGTTTGTAGGAAAACTAGCACCAACAGTGACAAAGAAAACATCCGGTGCCATCTGTAAATACCCATTTGGGGGGCTATATAAAAGTCTCAGGAGGGAAGGAGACTTTTGGAGTCAAAGCCACCAGAGTATTGCAACCGGTCTCTGTTCTTGAGTTCTGAGAGGATGACTTCTGAGTGTTCCCCCAGGGGCTGCTCTTCTGAGTCCTGTGACAGGGTTTCCACTTGTGCATCAGCTTCAGCCTGTCCTACAGACACAGCTTGCCTCCCCAGTGCCCAGGCTACACCCAGATGTCAGACCCCAAGCTTCCTATCCAGGTCTCACGGTTGCCTCACACCGTGCTACTTTGCTGGGAGTTGTAATAGTCCGTGCCTGGTGGGGAGCTGTACGTGGTGTGAGGATGGAGCGTTCAACTGCAACGAGAAGGCGACCATGCAATTCCTGAATGACAGACTTGCCAACTATCTGGAGAAGGTGCGCAGCCTGGAAGAGACCAATGCAGAGCTGGAATGTAGGATCCGAGAGCAATGCGAGCCAGAAGGCCCACTGGTGTGTCCAAATTATCAGTGTTATTTCGACACCATTGAAGACCTCCAACAAAAGGTTTGGCGTCTCACTGCCCCAAGGCTCCACCTTCCCCGTTTCTGATTTCTTTCATCTTTATACTAGAAGAGGTTGCTTTATGTAGCTGGGATAACAGGCGTGCCCCACCATGCCAGCTTATTTATTGAGATGGTAGTGGAGGAAATGGGGAATCCCAAAAGATAATGTTGTATAAAGGAGAGAGCACTGGACCACATACAGGTCAGGAAACCCCCATCCCAGCACTGCCACTAATTATTGAGTGACTATAAAAAAAAGTCACTGAGCTATAGACTTTAGACTTTATCATCTACACATTGGAGGAAAACCATATTTTATCTAAAATCACCTCTGTATGCAACACTGCATATTTATGTTCTTTTATTCACAGGTATTGAATGTCATCTTTTTAATTTTACCTAATAATCATTTTCTTCTTTTATTGATAGATTTCTATTAGCATGGATGGGGATATAGTTACAGTACAAATACTAATAGAGGAAACCTGAACAGGATTCAACTGCCAAGGAATATTACAAAAGCAAACCTTTTTATTTCTATATTTTGTTTCTTAACAGGCATTGTCCTTTTTCTACATGAAGTGATGTGGTTAATAAGACAAGCATGCTGAAAGAGATTTTATATTTTCTTACAAAGCCTGTCATAAGATAACTAATGACATGACTGTTAAAAAGAGTAGCTATTTAGGTTCCTTTCAAAGAATCATTTATTTGCATCATTTACCTCTCAGATCTTGTGCACGAAGGCAGAGAATTCTAGACTTGCTGTACAGGTTGACAACTGCAAACTGGCTGCTGATGACTTTAGGTCAAAGTAAGTTTAATTTTAATTTGAAAATAATTTCTCTTTCCCTCTTTCTCTCTCTGTCTCTCTCTCTCTCTAATATTTTTTAAGCTGAGGATACTTAACAAGCTTGAACCTATCATTATTTGGGGTGTAAAAAAAAAGTATAGCTCCCTCCAGCCCACATGTCACTTACCAGTGTACCCCAGTACTTTACACTGTGTCTAGCAAAGTAAGTGCTACATATGCCTCTCTTGCCATGAAAGGTATGAGAGTGAACTGTCCCTTCGCCAGCTGGTAGAGTCTGACATCAGTGGCCTGCATGGGATCCTGGGAGAGCTGACCTTGTGTAAATCCGATCTGGAGGCACACGTGGAGTCTCTGAAGGACGATCTCCTTTGCCTTAGGAAAAGTCATGGAGAGGTGAGTAAAGTGGTAATAGTGCCAAAAGACTGTGAGAGTGACTCATAGATTTCAGGTATGTAAATTGGACCTGGGAGATGTTGCTTGTGCTGGAATAAAACTCCTCAAGGAACTGTTACTATGAAGCCTGATTGTTCTGATCTCCAAAGGGAGATGCAATGTGTGCATCTTCATATGTGACATACTGGAAGAAACCACACTCTCCCCCTGCCATTGCTTTTGTGGAGGAGTGAGTAACTCCAGGAATGGCTTTCCTTGATGGCTTTGTGCCATCCCTAACTCTAATCCACAATGTATGAAAACTGTGCTGACCATCACAGTGAAATCCATTCCAAAAAGAAGAAAAAGGTGCATACAATATTTTGGGCCTTTGTTTTCAAATATTCTACATTTGTAGACTTTTTAAAGTCTACAAATGAAATATTGAGTGTATGATTACCCCATATTGAAGAAGCTGGAAAATGAAAAGTTGAGTGGTATATCAAAGTATATTTTCTCTTTGAACATTTGTTGTTGATAATAATAGCTAACCCTCACTAATAGTTTAGTATGTGCCAGGACTTTTATAAACTCATCATGTGTATATTAGGTACAATTATTATGCCCACATTGCAGCTAAAGAAACTGAAGAACTTATAAATGGTAAAAAGAGATACCAGCCCAGGCAATATAAATCACTTTTAACCACTATGCCAAAAACCGAGGTGGGATGCCATTGGTTGTCAAACTGGCATTTTTCCTTCACCATTCTGTGACTTTCCTTACTCCACTTCAACTTTTAGGAGGTCAACGTGCTGCGTGAACAGCTTGGAGACCGACTCAGCGTGGAGCTGGACACTGCCCCCACCGTGGACCTCAACAGGGTCCTGGATGAGATGCGATGTCAATATGAAACAGTGCTGGCCAACAACCGCAGGGATGCAGAAGAATGGTTCACGGCTCAGGTCAGCACCCACAGCAATAAGAGGGGAAGACTTCTAGATCTATGCCTTACTGGAGTTCTCTAATGGGACCTGTGTTTCAGACGGAAGAGCTGAATCAGCAGCAGCTGTCCAGTGCTGAGCAGCTGCAGGGCTGCCAAACAGAGATGCTGGAGCTGAAACGCACAGCCAACGCTCTGGAAATCGAGCTCCAGGCACAACAAAGCCTGGTGCGTAAAGCAAACACGGGGTCAGCTTTGCTACCAACAAACCAGGCCCTATGATGCTATGCCCCTTGTCATGAATCCAGGGAAAGACTCACAGTTCGTGATTTCCAATTTGCAAGGATGGCATTTCCTTGCCTTACCTAAGTACTGACTGGGTTTACCCATCTGGAAGCAGAAGTGACAGGGCCACAGATTGTGTTGTCCCACTAAGGTGACTCACCTGTCCTGGGCCTGAGCATAATCCTGTAATAACCTCCAGCGACATAAGAGAGAAGAGGTCAGGGCAGAATGAGAGAGGGACCTCTGAGCCAAAAGCTCTTAAGCATCACATGTGTCTAATTTTCTTTTAATTGAGGACAATTTTCTGAGATCAATGTCCAATCTAAAATAAGGAATAGTTTTCAAACTTCTTATCCTACAACTATTGTGAAGTTTACTAGGATCTACACCTCAACCATAACTTTCACTGCATCCCACCCCACCCATGCAAAAAGGTCACATGCACACTTTGGCACAATCAGGCACCATAGTATATGCCATATTGGGTACTAGAAGAGCACCTAGGTGAACAGTAGCCAAGCAACACAATACAACTTAAGCTTCACAATAACCTGAATAACCCCATTTCATGAGACTCAGATGAAGTTATTTGCAGAAGGTACTACAATTCTAAGAGGCAAAATAGAAGGTGAATCCAAGTGCTTCCATGCCAGAGCCTCTTTTCTAATAACCACACTATACCGCTCCTCCCTGCCAGGAGCCCAGATTCAAAGTTTCCTCCCAAATGCTGTCAGTCTCCTTAAGCTATTCAAATAAGTCACAGTGCTGGAAGCAATAGCTGTCATGTCTACAGCCCTTAAATTTTTTCCAGGCACTATTCAAAGTGCTTTCCACAAACTTACTCATTTAATCCTATGAGGTAGGTACTTTGCATTCCTCATTTTATGTAGAATAAAACTGAGACTCACCAAAGCTAAGTAATTTTCCTAAGGTCACAGTTAGAAAAAAATACAGCAAGGATTTGAAAACTGGTCATCTGGCCCCAGAGGCTGTGCTATAGGGTTCTCTTGACAATGTCTTCCTTCTGCAGACAGAATCTCTGGAATGTACTGTGGCAGAAACTGAGGCCCAGTACAGCACTCAACTGGCCCAGATGCAGTGCCTGATAGACAGCGTGGAGAACCAGCTGGCTGAGATCCGCTGCGACCTAGAGCGGCAGAATCAGGAATATGAGGTGCTGCTGGACACGAAGGCCCGGCTGGAGTGTGAGATCAACACATACCGGGGCCTGCTGGAGAGCGAGGACAGCAGGCAAGTTCCACAGTCACTCATGAAATCCCCCAGACACAAATAGCTAATGTGGGAGAATCCTGCTTCTCCAAGGTCTGGCCAAGGTCAAACCTCCCTAAAGTGTTTTAAGATTGAGAAAAAGTGACCAAGGCTAAGCACCCGACAATGGAAATGTTCTAAAATATTCAGAAGTTCTAATCAGAATCATTTTCATGTTTAACTTTTCATACTGCTGGTATTTCTCTCCTCTTGTTTTCCACTAAAGGGAAATTAGGAACTTTTGACCTTGTTCAAAATGAAGAAAATATATGAAATATTCAGCAGCCACTGCTATAGTAAACATGAAATGCTATTCTCATTCCAGAAATGAAATAAGCTGAAGTAAAGTGCTAGTCTACAATGAGTTTTCTACAGAACATGAATTGTGGGCAAAAGTTAACATAGTTCCGTGATGACATTTTACCAAGAGTTCTTTAAGATCGGTCTAAAATTGATTTTCCGCAGGCTTGCCTGTAACCCGTGCTCTACAACGTCCACTTCAAGCAGCACTCGTGAGCCATGCTCAGCCTACATCATTTGCACTGTTGATAATTGCTGTGCATGAATGCTAACCACCCCGCCCCCAGCATGGTAGATGGAAGAATTGAAGCCAGCAGTGTCCTAGAAGGAGATGGGACTTCAACCAGGGACATTCAAACCAAAAGCACAAGTGCATTCTGGATATATTGAACATTCCTTCCCTTTAAGCTTATTTGTGGAATTCTGGGAACCCTTAAAGCTTTCTTGCTAATCTCCAAATAAAACGTATTCATTCTTTTATCATGTGAGTATAGCTTTGAAGCGTATTACTTTTGATAAAACAGCTAATTAATGGCAGAAGAATTGTCTAAATCCACAACTTCAATTTGAATTTGCATAAACCCAGGGTGAAAATATTTGAACCCCTCAAATATAAATCCATTCACAATGTTGTATATCATAGAAAATATTTATATATTTTTTCTCAGAGAAAATCTAGGAAGGAAATATAGCAAACTATATTTATTTTGTTTATAATTATTAAAATCTAGGTTCTCCATTTTTAAGTTGGTTTATTAAAGGACAAAAACACTCATAATTCCATCCCTTAAACATCTATTGTAACTGCTTTGAGGAATTCTGGTTTTCATTCTTATAATTGGTCTTTCTACATAGTTGTAATCATAATTAGATGTGCATACAGTTGTATATTTTTTCACTTATGTTTTCTAAGCATTTTTAATCCTAATAAAAGCATAACATTGTCTGTGGCCATCACTTTAATGATTGCAAAATATACTATAAGGTACATTGGTCTGTTACTGGACATTTAGGTTCTAAAAATAATTGTCATACATTTTAAAAAGCAAAACAATTTCTAGAGTGATTAAGTAGACATTGGTTTTTTATTCTTCCTCTTCCTAAGTATAATTGAACACTGGAAATGACATATAAAACAAACATAAGAAGACTCTGAAAAGTGGGAAAAGAAGCCAAGCTCTAGTATAAACTCCCCCACTGGAGTAAAATCAGAGAGTACTAAGTGGGCAGTCCAGGTTTTCATTCACACTAGGTGACAGTGAGACCAACTACCACGACTCTTATCAGTGGAGACCTAATGGGAACCTTGGGCCTCACACCACCTGATAGCAGTGTCACACTTCATCTCTACTCTGGGGTGATGTCAAAGGAGGCATACTGGAGAGTCAGCAGTAACAAGGTCACTCCCATGCAGTATCAGTGCATATAGGAAGCAGTAATAAGAACCCTACCCCACCTATCAGGGTAATGTCAGCAGAAGCCATGTAAAGAGTTTGAAATCCTACCTCTCCCAGAAATAATGAGTGTCATATGAGGTGAAGAGAATTTGGGCTTTTACTCCCACCTGCATCATGAGGCAGCGTCAGCCATAGGGACACCTCATATCCAAACCATACACTCCACCCCTGACCCACAAAGGCTCATTTTTCAACTCATAATTCAAAATGCATTTAATTCTTCTCCAACAGTCTCCATAGTCCTAACAGTTTCAAATTTTTCTAATGTCTAAGTCCAAAGTCTCCTCTGAGATTCAAGGCAAACCCTTAGCTATGAGCCCTTGTAAAACAAAAATGAAAATTACATATTTCTAAAATACAATGGTGGAACAGGCACAGGGTGAATGTGCCCAGTCCAAAATGGAGTAATAAGGGAATAGAAAGGATCAAACCAATGCCAGGCCAAAACCCAGAAGGGCAAACATTAAATCCTGCACTGGTGGAATGATCCAACAAGATCGGGCAGCCCTGCCTATACAGCCCCCTTTCCTGGGCTCACTCCACTCTGCCTGCAGATTTCCTTAGCAAACATTCCACAATCCTGGCATCTTTAAATTCAGACTCTTCACTGCATCTTTGCTTCACCTTCACAGGCTAAAGCATCACAGGGTGATGCATCTTTGCATCACCTTCTCAGGGACTGTGTGGAGGAATCCTGACATTGACATGCATTCCTGGCTTCCCAGACCTTCCTTTGAAATCTGGGTGGAGGCCTCCATGACCTCTTAACTCTTATACTCTGCATGCCTGGAAAACCAGCACCATGTGGACAATTCCAAGGTCTGCCACCAACTCAAGCAGTAGCTGGACCCCTTGGGACCACAGATGCCGCAATCTCTGAGTGTTTGGGAGGCTGAGCATGGTGAAATGAATTCTGGGGAAATAACTTTTAGGCTGTCCTCTGAGAGCAGGGTATCCTGGGGATACTTTCTTCTCAAGGGAGTTTGATCCCATTCCTGAGATGCCCTCAAGGTATCTTTCCTACTGTCATGGTGCAAACTATGTGACTTCTTTTTAATGGTGCTAATCTCTTCAACAATCATACCCTCCTGGCCCACAGCTTTAAACATCCTCTTTTCCTGGCCAAACTGAAAGCTTTTCAAATTTTTTTGCTTGCTTTTTCTTCCAAATTCTCCCTATAAATTTGGCTAAGAACAGATAGTAACAGCCAGGCCATTCTGAGTCCTGAATTGCCATGCAATTTCCTCCACTAGATTAGTCTGTCACCTTTAAATTCAGCACCCCTCAAAGTCTCAGGTCATGAGCAAAAAATAGCCAAGTTCTTTGTCAGCAATATAACATAAATGGCCTCTAATCCAATTCCCTATACAGTCTTCATTTCCATCTGAAATCTCATGAGCACAGTCTTTACTGCCAGCTTCTAAGTTTTCACCAAAATCATCCATTAAGCTCTGCTTGTAGCTTCTTAGTTTTTTCTGATCTGCTTCTTCAAATATCTCCGAGTTCTTCCTGTAAAACAGTTCCAAAGGTTTAGGAACCATATGATCCAGTAGTCACAAAAATCCTACTTCTTGGAACCAATTTTCTGTCCTACTCAGCCTTTTGTCACTGTGACAAAATACCTGAGAAAACACCTTAAGGGAGTATTTATTTGGTCAGTGGTTTCAGAGCTTTCAGGCCATGTTGGCTGGATCCATTGCTTTGAGGCAAAATATCATAGCACTGGGAGCATGTGGCAGAGACTGCTCACCTTATGGTGGCCAAGAATCAGAGAGACAGACTGACAAACAGAAAGGGGACAAGGACAAGGCATGTATTGCCAGGGCACATCCCCAATGACCTACATTCTTCAAGCAAGCCCTACCTCCTAATGTTTACAACACCTCCCAAAATAGCATCAAGCTTTCAACACATGAGCCTATGGGGAACACTTCATATCCAGACCACAAAAACCATTGAGATAAATAAGAAGTGACAACATTTTTCAAGTGCTGAAAGAAAAAATTATTAACCCATATTTCTTTTTATGATTGTGTGTTTATCCATTCACTCATTTACTCAAAAGATACTTTTTATTAGTGTATATCAATTATAGAAAATAATGGATTTCATGTGACATTTTCATACATGTATATAATGTATTTTGATCATACTGAACCCCTACTCTCTTTTACCCACTTTCTCCCTAATCCTGTCCCACCCCTGTACTCTAAAAGTCCCCCTTCTACTTTCATGTATTTTTTTTTGCTAGGTTATACATAGTGGAGAAAAAATATGACAATTGTCTTTCTGAGTCTGGCTTATATGTGTTAATATGATGATCTCCATATCCATCCATTTTCCTACAAACAACACAATTTTGTTCCTCTTTATAGCTGAACAACACTTCATTGTTTATACACCACATTTTCTTTATCCATTCATGCTTTGATGGCCACTTAGGCTGATTTTATAACTCAGCTAATGTGAATAGTGTTGCAATAAACATGGGTATGCAAGTATCTCTATTGTATTCTGACTTCAGGTAGGTCATATAGTAGTTCTTTTTTTTAAAAGTTTTTTGAAGAACCTCCAAACTGATTTCCATATTGCTAGACTAATTTACCTTCCCACTAATAGAGTATAAAGTTTCCTTTATCCCCATATCCTCACCAGTCTTTATCAACCTATATTTCTATGCCCACTAAAAATATCCTTCAGAAAAGGAATAAATTAAGATTTTCTCAGATAAAGGAAAGTTAAAAGGCGTTGTCATCAGCAAATCTACACTAAAAGAATGGCTAACTATGAGCACAAGTGAAATGATAAAAGTATCTTGGAATACAAGGAAGGAATAATATAAATAGATTTACTTCTTTTCCTGAGTCTTCTTCATTATGTTTTATGGTTGGGGAAAAATACAACACTGTGTGATGTGGTCCTCAATGTATCTATAGGAATTATTTAAGACAATTATGTTACAAAAGGAAAAGTAAAGAGAGGTAAAGTTTTTGAACTTCACTTGACAAAATATCAACAACAGTACACTGTAAGTTATGCACATATTATGTAATAACAAAGCAACTACTTAAAAGGTCAGACAAAGAGATACTCAAACACACCATAGACAAATCAAAATGAAATTCTAAAACATATTCAAGTAATCCATAGGAAGACAGGAAAAGGGAAACAGAAAAAAAAAGAACACACCAGAGGGAACAAACAGAAGATGAAGGATAAAATGCAGACATAAGCCCTAAATATCAATAAACCACAGTAAATAGAAATGTTCTAAATAGAACAAATAAAAGAAGACTAGCAGAGTGGTTAAAGAAGCATGACCCAACAGTATAATACTTTGTACAAGAAACTCACTTCAAATATAATAATACAGTTTAGTTTCAAAGCAAAGATATAGAAAAGCCTACACAATTGTTCATAGCAGCTTTATTTGTAATAGTTCCAAACTAGAAATAACGAATATGTCCTCAAGATCTCAAGGCCATTATGTGGAGTAAAAGGGACAATCTAAAAGGGTCACATACTACATGAACCCATTTCTATGAAATTTTTAACAGGGCAAAATAATCGGATGAAAAAACAATTAATTGTAGCACTGATCATGTTGATTGAAGAGTTCCATAGCTGCATTGCCATGGTGGCTATGTGAATTTCATTGACCAACAGAGGAAGAACTAAACACATACAATATTTCATTGTCAGGTTCCTGATTTGGCAATTGTACTACAGTTGAGTAAGATGTAATTATTGGGAGAAACTAGAGTACTCAGAACCTTACTGTGATATCTTTGCAACTTCCTATGAGTCT